CAGACTCCTCTGGGGTTCCGGACAGAATAGGCCCAGCCTCTCAAGATGAGTCTTCTTACCGCCTGCCCTTTTCTTCTGGGTAGGCAACTGGTGCCCCTGCTGGAGCTGCTCTGTTCATCAGCCTGATCTTTTCCCCAACTCCCTCACCCCCCCACCCCCATTCTGAGAGACAGAGGATAATGGAGCATGCACACACACACACACACACACACCCGCACTGACAGAGGTGGGTGGGTGGAGAGGCGGGGTACCAGACAGGGAGTGATGTGCCCGGCAGATTCCTGCCGTCCTGGAGGCACGTCAAAGAGGAGGAGAAAAACAAAGTGAAACAGAAATGGCCCGCTCTATTTTGGTGGAGAGCAAAGTTTAGAACGGAGAAGATGACCTCACGTCATGAGCTGCAGCGAAGGCTCTGCCACTGCCGGGACTGAAATGGCCCTTCAGGCAAGACCTGAATTGGGGGATCGGGGGGGGGGAGGCACCTCTCAGCTATTCCCCATTTCTAAAAGAAGACTATGCTGGAATAAAAAAGAATAGAAGGGGGGGGAAGGGTAAATCACTGGCAAATTGAAAAACCTACGTAAAGACTGGAAGACTGTGTGGTCAGGAGGAGGGTTGGGCGCAACCCTGGATGAGGCCGATGCCACCACGGCCAGGCAGGCCCTGGCTGGAGAGAGGCCTCCCCCCCCCCCGTCTGCCAGGTGGGAAAGGCGAGCACTTTGGGCGGCCTGCCAAAGGGCGACACCGTGAGAGCGGCGGTCCTTTGAGGGGAGGAGCCCCCGCCGGGGCCACCGCCCCACCTCCGTTCCCCTCTGGTTTTGATCTGCAGCCCCTGAAATCCTGCAGCAAAAGGGCCCCTCGCTTTCACAGGGTCTCTCTGAACCCTTTTAGTAGAAGGGCCTCTGCCGTGCCAGGGAAGGAGGCAGCTCCGGCCAAAGAAGCCGCGGGGAGTTCTCCGGGTGCCACAAAGACTCTCCCCCCCCAGGTTGGCTGAACCCGT